GTAGGAATAGGCCTTGGGTTACTGCTGGTAATCCTGTCTTCCTCTTGTAGGGTTAGAGGAGGTCGGAACATGTGGCCTCCTTGCCATTTTTGCACATGGGTATGTTCACTTTGTAAAAATTCATAAATTTGTTGAAATATGCACTTATGATTTGTGCACTTGTCTAGATGTTTGTGACAGTTGAGTGAAAAGTTCACTGTTAAATTCCCTATTCCCACCTAAATGTCAGGGGAACTCTAAACTCTGAAAGTGCTTGAGAGGTCACAGGCACTATAGTAAATTTGGTAAGATTAAAGGCATTATGGTTGATGGCTTGGATGGGATCGAATGGGTTAGGATGGGAAGGGTTTGAATGAGATGAGATGGGATGGGGTCAGATATCATGGGACAGGATGGGACTGGACAGGATAGGACAAGCAAGATGAGAGAGATGAGACAGATGAGATAAGTTGAGATGGGATGGGATGGGTTGGGAAGGGGATAGAATGGGTTGGCATAGAAAGGGGTGGGGTGATATAGGGTGGGGTGGAAGGGGTGAAATGCAATGGGATGGGATAAATTAGGATAGCTTTATGTGCAATGGGACAGAATGGGTTGAGTTTAGGATCACATGGGATAGGACTGTGTTTAGAGCAGGGACTCAGATTGTTGTTGTTGTTGTTATGTGCCGTCGAGTCGGCCCTGACTCATAGCGACCCCTCCTTGGGTTTCTGAGGCAGTATCACTACGGAAGTAGGATTGCCCAACCTTCCTTCCGAGGAGTGGCTGGTGGGTTTGAACCGCCAGCCTTCTGGGACTCAGATTATGAAGGGCTTTATATGAAGCCCATCATGATAAGGAGTTTGGATTTCATCCTATTGAGAGCTGGAGGAGATTTCTGAGCAGGAATGTGGCATTCTTAGACTTCCCCTCAAGATTATTCTGGCAAATGTATGGAAGATGGACCCAAGAAGAGAAGCCTGGGGACCAGATGTTTCTGAGATAAAACTAATGAGGTTTGTGATCAATCAGAAGGGCCAAAGAGATGCCAGAGGACACTAGCAGGACTCTATGAATGGAGCTGGTGAGGACCAGATCCATACTTCATAAATGGGAAAATGCGGAAGGTTTAAGGGGAGGAAGAAGTTTGGCTGCCAGGCTAAAGTAGAGGGTGGGGTCAGTTTCAGGTGAACTGAATGTTTTCTCTTCTCCTTTTGGTCTCTTAGTAGGAACATGATAATATTTTGAGCCAGGCTTAGTGCCCAAGAGAGAGGCATACAAATCAGTGGGAACTACAGTAACCATATTCTAAAGCCCATAAGAACCAAAGAGACTGGATTATGACACCATCCAGGATTTTCACACTTCAAAATTCTCAGAATCCTTCTAGCTAGTGATTTTTTTATGAGCCTTACTAGAACTGGTAATATTCCCATTTTACAAGGGCAAAAACTGAGGCTAAGAGAGGGTGGCTTGCCTGGTCCAAGGTGACATAGCTGCCAGGTGGTGGAATAAGGAGATGAACCCAGGTGGGTTGGCCTCCAGTGGCCTGTCCTGTGATCTTTTGAGAAATTCTACACCGCTACATGCTTCTGACTTGGTTCTTCAGTAGGAAAGGAATAGGAACTCTTGGCCAGAAAAACAACCATCCCCTTCCTTACCTGTATGTGTGCGGACATGCCTCTTCAAGTCAAAGGTGTCATTGAAGCCCTTGCCACAGAAAGTGCATGGATGCCTTTTCACTTGGTTGTGGCACTTGAGGTGCCGGTTGAGCATGCGCTGTAGGCGGAAACCCTTGCCACACAGGTCACAGCTGTGAACCACTGAATCATCGCATGAGCCTGTGGTGAACTGGAAGGCAGAGAGAGAGGCTGTGAGGGCTCCAGTGCAGGCTGGGAAAAACCACCATTCCTGAAAGCATTCCTGTAGCTCACTCCAGGAGCCTACCTTCTGGTGTCTCTAGGCTTCGCCTGGCTGTGGCTTCTTTCTTCTAAAAATTACAAGCAAATTTTGGCTTTTGGGAAGGTGAAATAAAGACTAGCAGATCCTCTCAATCACCTATTCACACCTTCTTCTTTATGAGAGACTTCTGATTTTTAGTCAGGCACACTGCCCCCAGCTAAATAACTACATTTCCCAGCCTTCTAGCAAGGAATGGCCATGTAACTTTTCTCTCTCCTTAAGGGGGAGTCCACCACCTGTCGTCAGTTTGTTGTATTATGGTAGCTTGCATGTTCCTATAATGCCAGGAGGGAGCTCTGGTAGCGTAGTGCCTAAGGCACTTGACTGCTAACCAAAAGGTTGGTGATTCAAACCCACCAGCCACTCCTCGAAGGAAGATGGGGCAATCTACTTCTGTAGTGATACTGCCTCGGAAACCCAAGGAGGGGTCACTATGAGTCAGGTCTGACTCGATGGCACATAACAACAACAACATAATGCTAGAAGCTATACCACTGGTATTTCAAACACCAGCAGGATGACTCATGGTAGATAACTTTCAGTGGAACTTCTAGAGTCAGGCAGACTAGGAAGAAAGGCTTGGCAATTTACCTCCAAAAATTACTCAACAAAAACCCTATCACAACACAATCACAACAGAATATTGTCCAATATAGTGCTGGAAGTGCGAGTCCCCTAGGCTAGAAGACACTCAAAATACACATTGGTCACAATAGTGGGTTCAAACACACCAATGATCATGAACGTGGCACAGGACCAGGCAATGTTTCATCCTACTAGACATAAATCACAAATCAGAGCTGACTCAATGGCAACTCTCAATGATAACAAAGGGGGAGATGCCCTCCTTCTTCCTTCACTCCTTCATGCTGGCAAAACCTCCAACAGCCATCTTGACCATCAGGTGAAGCCAGTGTTGAGGATCAAGGAGCAGAAAGAAAGGGGTCCTGATGACTTCATAGAGTCTGGTATAGATAGTCTTCAAATATGAACATAATAAATTCCTTTTTACCTATACCCACTTGCTGCTCCACCTACTAAGAGATAGAGACCATTTCCTCTCCCCTTAAATCTGAGCTGGGCTTGTGACTACTTGAACCAAAAGAATGCAGCAATGATGTGTCAGTTCCAGGTTTATGTCAACCTGCAACTTCCACTTCTTCCTTCCTGGGATCCAGCTGCCAATTAAGAAGTCTAATTAGTCCAAAACCACCATGCTGTGAGGAAGCCCAACCTAGCCATTTAGAGTGACAGAGGCCACATGGAGGAGCATGAGGTGCCAGATGTATGAGTAAGGCCTTATCGGACCTTCCAGCCCAGCCCAGTGCTACCACCAGCTGAGGAAGTAGCCCCAGCCACTGCCACCCTGAGCAGAACTGCCTAGCTGACCCATGCTTCAATTCCTGACTCACAAAATCAGCATATTCATTAGATGTAGATTGTCTGGTGATTGTAGGCAGCCTGATGCAAAGACCTGATAGAAGGCACAAGACACATAATAAATTTCCATTCAGCCTCCTCTTGTCTCAGCTAACATTGACAAGTACCTGATCTGTGACAGGAGTCCCTGGGTAGTGCAAATGGTTAGCAGGTTCATCTCCTAACTGAAAGGTTGGAAGTTCAAGAACACCCAGAAGCACCTCAGAAGACAGGCTTGGAGATCTACTTCCATTCATCTCCTAACTGAAAGGTTGGAAGTTCAAGAACACCCATCAGCACCTCAGAAGACAGGCTTGGAGATTTACTTCCAAAAAGCCATCCTTGAAAACCATACAGAGCATGTTCTACTCTCACACACACTTGGGGTGGTGGGGGGAGACCAGTGCCATCTGTGACCTATGCTATACGTACATCCTATACATATGTATAGGATGTATACATCCTATACAACAGGACCTATGCTCAGAGCTGGAGGTAGTACAATAATGGAAGATGACTTGTCTCCAAGATTCTATCCCAGAATAGTAGGGAAGGAAGCATGTTAATGTGCCATTGACCTCTCAGAATTCCAGTGTGCAGTGGATGTACCTCAAGGGGCACCTGACCTAGATGTGGAATTCTAGAGAAAGTGCTTCCAGAGGGAGTTTCTCAGATGATGATGAGGTGAAAGAGAGGAGGGATAATTGGTGGCAAATGGGGAAGTATGCAGGTTCAGCATGGCTAACCTGAGCCTAGAGGGGAGATGGGGCAGTTAATGAGGAAAGCTGTGGAAACAGAGAAGGGAGATTTCCTCTTAGGGGTCTACCTTGAGAGCCCTAATAGAGTCTGGATTCTATTCAGAGGGCAAGGGGGAGCTCTGGGCTGATAAAAGAGGATAGCCTCAGGGGTTGAGTTTGATGACCCCCCAGCTGACTCATACCCTACAACTTTGCACCTCTGCTCTATCTCTCCCCAAGGCATACAGCCTGGCCTCAGCCTGAGGAGGACCTAGCTGTACCCAAGGCTTTTCTTGTCACAGCACAGGTCATGATCTAGCCCTCTTTGTCCAGCAATCCCCTTTCTGGGTCATCTCCTTCTTTGAAGTGATGTGAAAAGACTAAATATGGCCCACTAAATACAGCAAACTGAGTACTCAGAACTTCCCAAGGTCAAGTCTACGCAGGATAAAGGTCATTGAGAAGTTGTTATTGTTGTTAGCTGCCTAAAGGCCCCCTGACTCATGGCAACCCCATGTACAACCAGATGAGACCAGATGTACAATCAGATCTGATCCACAGGGTTTTCACTGGCTGATTTTTTGGACGTAGATGGCCAAGCCTTTCTTCCTAACCCATCTTAGTCCAGAAGCTCTGCTGAAATCTGTTAGGTGCTATAGCAACATATAAGCCTTGACTAACAGACAGACATATTGTGACTGCACAGAGGTACATTGCCTGGAAACTAAACCCAGGTCTCCCACATGGAAGGCAAAAATTCTACCACTGAGCTTCTACCCAAACTGGCCTATAGGGTGAACATTTGCATCAGGTAGATACACGCCTTAGAACAATCAATCATGGGAGAACAGAAGGTGAGCATTTGTACAGGGAGAAACTCAGGGGTCAGGAATGCATAGGAAAGAAGGACACATGGAAGAGGTAACTACAGAGAAGAAGTGGGAAGAGAGCTGTTACACTGTGGGGAATTGCAGTCAATGTATACAAACTGCTGTATGGAAAATGTCCTGAAAGAAGTGCAGCCGGAATGATCCTGGGAAGTGAAAATGGCCAGACTTCTTCTCACCTACTTTGGTCATGTTGTCAGAAGGGACTATTCTCTGGAGAAGGATGTCATGCTTGGTAAAGTAGAGGGTCAGCGAAAGAGGGGAAGGCCCTCAACAGGATGGATTAACATGGTGGCTGCAGCAATGGGCTCAGGTATAGTAGGGATCATGAGGCTGACACAGGACCAGGCAGTGTTGCATTCTGTTGTACATAAGGTTGCTGTGAGTCAGAGATGACTCGACAGTACGTAACAACAACAAACAACAATGGAAAATGAATTTGCTCTGTAAATTTTCACTCAAATTACAATAAAAATGAGAAAAAAAAAAATTCTACCACTGAAGCATCACTGCTCCCACCCCCTTCAAGAGGGGGTGAGGTGCTAATAAAACAAAGCATAAACAATAGCTCCTAATAGTTCCAGGAAAGTAATGGGCCAATTAAAAATGTTCAGGAAGCTAGAACTATCTAGCTTGAAAGTTCTGTAGAATGTGACTAAGAACTTTCCAATCATAGTGCAAACCTGAGCTCTTGTTTACTTGTTTACTTTACTCCTTTTGATAAATTCCTATTTTGAAATGCTCTTCATGTAATATGGATACTATCAATGACAATCCAGAATGAAAATCTTGATTCACTGTCATTATTTTGTTTGAAAAGAAGGAAATCAGTAGCCCAGAAGGAGATCAGTTAAAGGGCCAGCGATCATCTGACTAAGGTACAGAGGGCTTTTAAAGCAGGGAGGAAAGGATAAGAGTGTGTGGAGGGGTGGGCTGGAGACTCAGGAAGTCCTATTCACATTTTGATCTCTTCTCTGGTTTTCTTAGAGCAAAAGTGGAAATTCTCTAAGTATTCCTCAGCAAAGACAAGTTTTCCATTTCTCCATATTCACATGTATCCCCATTTCACAGCATAGAAAACCGAGTCACATAAAAAGTGGCTCATTTAAGGAATTCACCCCAGATGCACCCTGGAATCCATGAAGTATTACTTGCCACCTATATGATCAATCTAGCTACCAGACATTATTAACAAATTAATGTTTGAAGCCTTAAGAAAACCTTAATTTTTTTTTCAACCAAGAATTATATATCCAGCAAAATTGTCCCTCAAATATGATGGTGAAATTAGGAGATTTCCAGATAAACAGAAAGTAAGGGAATTTGTGAAAACCAGACTAATGTTACAAGAGATGCTAAAGGGAGTC